TATTAACATATTGAGAAATCTTCATTCATTCACTCATAAATGCAATGAGATGACTTCTGTGATTGAAGTTTCTCTCTGACTATTGAATCTTATAATCTGATAATTTTTTTTCAACTTCTTGAAATTTACTTCTAAGGTTTTAACACATCTATATATAAAGCTTATATCAATAAAAATATAGTAGTTTGCTCCAGAATCTACTAGTATTTTTGTAGAAATAACATATTCATTAAAAGCTATTTTGATATATATAGTAAAAGAATTTCTACTCATTAACTGATTCATATTCAAAGTTTCTAGTGTAACTATATTATCTGAGAAGAAGACTTCTCTCAGACTTAATCTTTTTCTGACTTGGTAATAGCTGTTTCAATATTCACTTTCTTTAATTCTATTTTTTACTTGTATAAGTATTTTTATACTATATAATCTTTACTTTGACAGTTGAAGCATTTTATATTATTTTTTCAATCTTTATTCTTCAGTCTATTCTTAATTATCTGTGTTGATGTGACTGAAATCTCTTTATAGTTAATTTACATCATCAGAGTTTCTTCATAGCTGAACAGTTATCAATTGTTTTGACTAGATATATTCTTAATATAATAAGCAATTCAGGTGTAAATGTGTTGAACTTTATGAAAAATACTGCAATTAATGCAAATAACTGCAATTATATATTGAAGATCAAAGAAGATCTTATAAAGAAAGTCTACTTTTTAATCTTTCTTATAAATCTAAGCTTCATCTATCAGATATAAAAAGTTAGTAATAAATATATGATAGTCATCTTCATTTCTTATTATCAGTTGTTGATATTTTATCTTTGCATTCTCAATCTTGTTAACATTTTCATATATTTCTTATAGATATTTGAATACTTTTTTAGCTATTTTAAATTTTTTAGAATAGTCATTCTTTATTTTTAAAGCTAAGTATCTAGTAGCTTCACTCTTAGTTTAGTTTTTAATATAAGTAATATAACTTTTCTTGATTAGAAAATAGTCTCTGTTGATGACTAACTTATATTTTATTTAAAAGAGTCAATTTTTAAATATTGATTCTTTTCTATTGGTAAGATGCTTAGAATTATCGAGTTTGACTGATCATTGTATCTGTTGAATATCTGCTAGTCTGATTTGAGAGGTTAAAGAGTTTACAATCTACTATAAAATATTTTGTTCCTTTATTAAGCTATTCACTTGCTGGTTAAGTTCACTTATTTGCTTTTTCTGCTCATTTTATTCAGCTCTAACTCTTTCTAAAGTATTTCTTGTCTTATTTATGAGATTAGCAATCTCTTGATATATATAATCTGAATTCTCTTTAATTGATATAAGAAATTATTCTTTTAATATAAGATTTCTTGACTTTATATTCTTCTCAGTCAGAGTTATTATATTTTAATCTAATTTTCATAGATGATCAGATTCTGTAACTACTTCTAATATCTTAGCAGTATTTTTAAAGGTTTAAAATAAAAGTTAATAAAGATTTTTAAAGGTTTTTTATCTAAAAAACCTGCTTTAAAAAGAGTAAAAAAGTTATTAATTTTAATATTATATCACAGCTTCAATCTAAATATAGATAAACAGATATTTAATTATCAACTAGATAAGATATCTGAGTAAATACTAAGATAATTCTTAAAAGATGAATTTAAAGAAGATTTTATTTATATAACTTTTTTTTTAATACTCTTCTCAGTGCAGTTATCATGTGATTGTTATATTTATATATTATTCATATATGAGGTAATTGTAAAGTTGATTGCTATATCAATACTTAGGCAGTTTGTGATTACTGTACTTAGATAGTTGCAGTTACTGTTTGCCTCAGTCTTATGTTATTAAAAAGGCTACAAAGTCTGTTCTACATCATCATAATCTATTAAATAGTTATTCTTTTTTCAAGTCTTCAATTATTTACTTAATCACTTCAAAGGTTCTGCTATTATTGAATTTGTAGTATAGAATTCTTGAATTATATGTGATAATTTTTTTAAATTAAAATTAAATATTATATTAAATTATCATTAAATTCTAATTATTTTATTCAGTATTAAAGTTTTTTATAAAAGATATAATTCATTAGAATATTTTTAATCTATTATTTATTTTTACTCTATATTTTAACTAATTCTGATATCTTATTTAGTTGTTCTGATACAAGATTATTTGCAGCTTTCTGTAGCTTGTCAGAGGAGAATATTGATTAAATCTTCATATAATTTAATAAACTTAGTCTATAGTTGTTGTTAATCTTCTTAATGATTTTAAAAAAGCTTTTATTTTATTCTATAAGCTTTCTGCTAAGGTGTTAAATTTTATAGTTTTTGAATAATAGAAAAATCTTATCTTCTATCTCAAAGTTTGACTTCTGATGATGTTTGTTAATTTATAATTTCATGATTTCTTATATTTTTCTCATATTATCAGCTGTCAGCTTTTAGATTTTCTTTATTTAAATAATATGTTGCTGAGTATCTTCTTATTTGAGTTTTTTCTTTCTAGATAGTATTCTTGACAATGACTTTTAATCAAAGAACATTTGAGATTTATATTCATAAACAGTTAGAAAGAATGTTATTTCAGTTGATTTATTTATCAGAGCTTCAGCTGCATGATTCATTATTGATAATCATTCATCTTAGTTGTTCTGATAGTAGTTAACATATGAGCAAAGCTTGATTGTCAGATATTGATTGACAATCTTAGTCTGACCATCTGTTTACATGTGAGGAGCTGATGAAAGCTTCAGCTTAACTTTTGTAACAGCGTAGAACGGGCTCCGTCCAAATTACTTGACAGCGTAAGACCACTGGGCTAAAAAGGGTAATTTCAACTGCCTAGCAACGGCATAGCAACCAACCCCACAATTACCCCGTAAACAATTACCCTGTAAACAAATACCCTGTAAACACGGGAACCGGCTAGCAACGACCTAGCAACTGCACTAAGGAAAGGGGTATATAAATAGAGCCTTCATCAAACCCTTGTTTTAGGAAATATCTTAGTATTTCATCAAGATAGCTTATCTAGTGGGCAATCAAACACCTGTTTTCCCTACGCCTAGATTGAAGCTGTGACAACAACTGTCTCTATTTTCTGTGTCAAAAAATCAGATGAAGAATTAATATATAGATAGTTACTGTATGCAGTTGCTTCCAGCCTTTCACTGACTACTTTAAGAAAAGCTTGATACGCAGAATGGAGGCTTCCACACAGATTATATATTAGAAGTTACTGGCGAAGTAACTACAGTGTATTAGTTGGTTGTTTTAACATTTGTCATCATCTATGTGATGGCAAGCTACATTAGTTAACTACCTTTAACTATAGTTACATACGCTATCTAGATCACGTGTAGCAGGCGGAGAGTCAGCTGTCAAACCTGGCCAACAGCATGCTCCCTTTATGATATTCTAATATCAGCTTGACATAAGTTCAAACCTTGGTGTAACTCTCTTTTGATTTTTCATCATGATTTGGCTTTGGAGAATAGCACCAATTGAAGGGCACTGATGGTCTGATCCATTGGGCACTGTCACTGGTACCAACTTGACCTTCTTGTGATTCCACTGTTTATGTTGCAAAGTCTTTATCTTTGATGAATTGTAATAACCTGGGGTGATGAGGATGATGCACATCATTACTCTCATGACCTTTAAACTGAATGTTGATCAAATGGGGACCTGGATTCATTGCATCTGAGTGTTGGGATACGAGTTCATCCCTTATTATGGCCAGGTTGGGTTAGTGAAAGGCGGGGTGGGCCTTCATCTGTATGATAAGTGATGTTGTGTATTTGGCTCGCCTCTGTGATTTTGCAGCACACGGAAACACAAAGATTGAAAATATATCAAATTAGGAGTATGAGCCAGGAATGGGTTCCTTCAGAAGGTTTTCTCTCTTCTTTCTCTTTTACCAATGGCATGGGCTTCTCTCTTCCCAGAAGCAGACCTGCTGGGAACGCAACATATTATTTCTAAGGGGTTTCAGCAACCCAGTCTTTGGGCTGGACATGACTATATTTTCTAAGGATATAGGTGAAACTCTTGTCAACTCCACCAGCTGTTGATTGACAGGAGTGAGTGGAGGTCAAAAACTCAATACTTTCTACACCCCTGGAGAAAACCCAGCCAAAATTACTCATTATCCAGCACACTGATGGGGTAATCTGCACCAAATGTCATAATCATCTATTTCCTGCCAAGAGGAAAGGGAGAAAATGATGGCCCTCCTCCAATCCTAGCACAAGCATCCATCTGCATTGTTTACATTTGCTATTCTTGCTATTCTAGATATCTATGTCTTTTGCGTTCCAATTTCTGCCGGTTCCTTTCTCCAGTTATCCTTGTCCAAGATACACAAATGCATTTCCAATGATAATGGGCGTTGATGTTTACATTTCATTTACAGATAACAACGTTTTCCTTTCCCTCTGGGGACAAGGGTATGCCTCCCAGGAAGAGTCTACCCGAATATTAAACCATCCTGGCCCTGGTTTTTGCAGGGTGAAATGGAGCATCCAAGCAAATCCAGAAAACTCAAGTGGAACCTTGGAGAAAAATATCCACACAAGCACGGCACTATAACTACAGAGAGCAGAGATGGTTCACCTCAATCTCTACTGGCAGTCATGTGCGCTGCGTAATGTGAAAGAAAACAATTTGTGAAATGGTGCGTTGCAGGGTTCCTCATATATCTACAAAACATGGTGCTATCCGCAGTATATGGTTTCCTTTTTAAGGATTCTATCCAGCCATCCAGAGGTGCCACATGCGCAATCATTGATCTCCATCTTTTCTTTACAGGGGATGGTAATCATCGGGTAGAAATGCGGAAATATTGGAATAATGTTGCAAGATGTGGATGTTGGAAAATTGTCCCAATGGGGCTACCCGCCTAAATAAGAAGCATGGGGATTTCTCCTCAACTGGATGTCAGGATACCTTGAAAAGCCAGCAAATTCCTGACTGAATAGTAACATTTTCCAAAATGAAGATTCTCTGGCTCGCTGCAGCAGCCGTTGTTCCGCTCAGCCAAGTCTCTCTGGCAAAGAGAGCCGGCTCTCACACAGCTACCATCTCTCATCCGCAAGCAACAATTATTGGAGATGAAAAACTTGGGGTCGAGGTTTTACCCAGTATCCCATTTGCCAAACCTCCTGTTGGACCACTGCATCTCAAATCACCGCAGCTGATCGCGGAACTTCTGGGAAATATGAAGCTAAAAGAATGAACTCGCATATCCCCAATTATTTTTCAGCAATGAACTTGATGATGCGATAACACCCCCAGCCAGGGGTAAACTTGTGAATACTACCCTGTTCCAAAAAGTAAGTAGTTTTGAATGCAGGAGAAGACTATTTCTATATCACCATCCACCAGCCAGCAAGCCGGCGCGACTGAGTCAGATAAGTTGCCTGTGCTTCTCTGGATTTATTTATTTATTTTTTTTTTTTGTTTGGGAGGAGGGTTGAAGTTGACTGGATCTCCCTCCCTCTTCAACATTTCAAGCAAGCTGGGTTACCGCATCGGGGAAGACGGGAAAGCCAATTGTTGCCTGTGTCCGTCAATTATGTTGTGGGCGGATTGGACTTTTTGCCAGGAAAGGGGGTGTTGGCAGACGGCTCCGCCAATTTAGGGCTGTTGGATTAAAGGTTGGAGTTAGAGTGGATCGCTGACGACATTGCCGCATTTGGTGGAAACCCGGACGCGGTGACTATATGGGGAGAGTTTGCCGGGCTCAGCATCTGATCATATGGTAATGTATGATGGAGACCATATACAAAGGCAAGTCACTATTTCGCAGCTGTATTATGAACTGTGGCAATGTTGTTCCTACAGATCTCGTGGATATATTCAAGGGATAGGAGGTGTACAACACTGTGGCTAAACATGCGGGATACTCCAATTCCGCAGACACATTGAACTGCCTGCGCGAGGTCGAATGCGATACCTTGCTTAATGCGATGAACGCGGTTCCGAGCCTTCTAAGCTATTTTTTCCATTTCTTTGTCATGCCTTCCCCGTCCCGATGGCAGAAGTTCTTGCTAAGTCACCAGATGAATTGCTCCTGGAGGGCAGATTCGCCAAATTTGTCCTCGGCAGCCAGGAAGACGAAGGAACTCTCTTCTCCCACTCCCAATCCAACATTATCATGACTGCCCAGCTAGCTATATATACATCAAGTCGAATTTCTTCCCCAGCGCAAACAACGCGCACATCGCAGAACTAATCTCTGTCTATTCTAATGTCGGGGAATACGGCGCCCCACACCGTACGGGAAAGTTGAACAATTGGTATCTGCAGTTCAAGCGTCTAGCTGTTACCTTAGAAGTCCTGACATATACCCCTTCCTGCCGTTCTGTCCTAGAGGTCGCAAATAAAGTCCACCAAGACGCGCCGACCTGGTCTTACCTTTCCTCGTTCGAATATGGAATTTCCACCGCAGCGACCTGATACAGGTGTTCTTTAGTCTCTTGCTGAATCATACCTCAAAAGTATTCCGTGAGTAATATCTGGCTTTCATTCATGAACAGAACACAGGTACTAGCACGAAAACTCCTTATTGGCCATGCTGGAGCGAGTTGAAGAAGCTGGTGAATATGTCCGACTGGAGCCCGAAGTTTATTTCGGATAACCTTAGGCAGAATGCTTATGACTTTATTCTCAAGAATATGCGGAGCTTCCATACCCAGGATTCGGGTTCTCATATATCGATACGTGCGTATCGACTGGATCTGAATACCGGGAATGAGAAATATCGGATATCAGTTGTCCAACTCATTTTTGGAAATTGCCTCTTTTTATTTGATTGCGAATGGTTGGATAAAATGTCCGTTTTATATTTCTCATGGACAGCGAATAGTACGCTGAGTTGGGTATCCCATGGAATCCTTGTTCCTTGGAAGCTTGTTCACCCGCGCCCACCGTGACAAATTGCTATCAGATATAACCTGGGCAATGAATTTAATGAGAAAGGCCCCCTGCCATATCATTACCAAAAACATTAGAATTTCCCTAGAATCTCAGAATTAAGGTCCAAGAACATACAACGAGAATGAACCAACGCGGGGGTATTTTAGACACCCGAAGAGCTAAGTGGGATATATGGGGGATAGATGCGGGAATTTTTGGCATTATCTTCTATGATCCCCTGTCAATCACAGCAATTCTCAATCAAACCGACGTAGTGTACATGCATTTTCCTTGACGAAGTGCCTACCGTGTCGTCACATCACCATCCCTTCACCGCGATGTGGGGATGGAGGATGGACTGAAAACAAACTTGGCCCCTCAACCGGAATGTGTGGGCTCCCGTTTCTTTGAGACTAGGATCTTCCACGCTGCTGTAACTATGTATAACTTTTAACAGCAGAGTTTTTGGCTGCTAGATGCCTGAGGTAATTGAGATCGGTATCAGATCTTTGGCTTCAACCAAAACAATAGCTATTGAGTTGCACAGATGAGGATAGAGCCATGACCGAGATAGAGTCAAAAGCTTTGATTCTGACAATTCAACAGAAATCCCGTGCCTCCTTGCAGTATTTTTGTTAGGCGCCTGAAATTCCAAATTCAATACAGGCCTCTCCCCCAGTTGTTATCTCAGCTCAGAAGGCTGTCGGCTTGTCAGCCAGTCAGCCCTAAACTTGACAGCCGAATGGCGCTGGCTACATACCCAATGAACAACTTCTGTATCAAGGATCATTGGAAGGTATAAACCGATGAAAGAGTTTATCTTGAACCCTGGCGTCGGCTTCGAAGTTTTGAGATTGTCAGCTGTTGGAAAAGCGAAGCCAGGTTGCAGCAATAACTTGCTAGCCCGTAAAAAATGAGCTGCGGCAACAGGGCTGGCGGGTTTGGCAGCTTCTGATGCCCTGGATATCCCAAATTTAGCAGATACGAAACTGCGAAGTAAAATAGTGAATCCAGAATAGAATTGTGCACTTGGGTGGCGTCTGGTAATCAGTTCACTAAATAACTAATAACTACTCGACCAGTTCTTGATCCGAAGAGCACAGCACAGCAAGCTTCCACCAACAACTTTTTGTTGCGTCACGCCATTTTTCTTAAGTCGGGTTTGCTGGTCAATGATACAATGATTTCGCTTGCAATATTTTTGATTTTGTTTTTGGAAGCAGGATTTCTGGCGGACAAGAGCTATATATGGAAGTGACCGGAGTCCTCGCGTTGGCAATTCGTCCATTTGCTTCAGTTCTTCGCTTTTCCTTGATGTCACCAATAGTTAACCCTAAAGTCAAGAACCAACTGCCCCTCTCACCTCAGCGCTAAGCCCCAGTGAATTATTTTATAACCCCTCTTCCTGAGATAGATTCCTAGGTCCATACATAGACATATATATATATATATATATATATATATATACATACAAACATACACACACTTGCTCTATCTTCGACCATCTCCGTGCCTTGCGTCATTTCTCTACCCTATTTTTCTCTTCATTATACACCAACTGCTGACGATTGCCCAATATGTCCTCCGCAGAGGTCACCCAGAAGTTTGAAACACTTCAATTGCACGCCGGGTAAGAGATTTTCTCATGGCCTTAACACCACTTCGCCCTCGATGCAAAATCACTAACAAAAATCTCCTATTTCCCAGACATGAGCCAGACTCTGCCACTAACTCCCGCGCTGTCCCCATCTATGCTTCGACTGTTTGTCTCTGAAAATTCAAGTTTCCATTCTTGCTGGGTGTAGCGCGTCCACGGCTAATGTTCTCAGTCTTTCACATTCAATAACTCCGCCCATGGCGCCCGGCTCTTCTCTCTTAAGGAACTAGGCAATGTCTACAGCCGTCTTGGAAACGTATGTTTATCTATCCATGGATATCTCAGCTAATGTGGAGGACGTGAACATAACCTTGTCTAACCTCTGTTGATATGTATACAGCCCACCGTTGAAGTTTTTGAGAAGCGCATCGCTGCCCTAGAAGGTGGTTTGGCAGCCGTAGCAGCCTCCTCCGGCCAATCCGCCCAGTTCATGGCCATTGCCGCCCTCGCGAGAGCCGGTGACAATATTGTGTCCACTACCAACCTCTACGGCGGCACATACAACCAGTTCAAGGTCTTCCTGCCACGTATGGGCATTACGACCAAGTTCGTCAAAGGCGACGACCCGGCTGAGATCGCATCGAAGATCGATGACAAGACCAAGTGTGTCTATGTGGAGACTATTGGGAATCCGAAATTTAATGTTCCAGATTTTGAAGCCATTGCGAAAGTTGCGCATGAGAAAGGGGTCCCGTTTGTTGTATGTTGCCCTTTTTTTTTTTTTTTTTTTTTTTTTTTTTTTTTTTTTTTTTTTTTCTTTTCTTTTCTTTTCTTTTCTTTTTTTTTTTTTGTTGTTGTTGTTATTGTTGTTTTAAGGCGTCCTCATTTGTGCTTCTATTTATTTATTTTCTCCTGTGTCTTTTCTTTTTGGTAGGGGAATATATATATATATATATATATGAAGCACACAACTTTAGCAGCTAACAATCGTCCGTAACGGCAGGTCGATAACACCTTTGGAGCCGGCGGCTACTTCTTCCGGCCCATCGAGCACGGCGCCGATATCGTTGTGCACAGCGCTACAAAATGGATTGGTGGTCACGGAACCACCATCGCTGGCGTCGTCATCGACGGCGGCAAGTTCGACTGGGTCAAGCACGCAGCCCGTTTCCCGCAATTTGTCGAGCCATCTGAGGGTTACCATGGCCTCAAGCTCTGTGAATCTTTTGGTGCGGGCGCCTTCAGTGTCAGCGTTCGAATTGACGTCCTCCGTGATTTGGGCTCTGCCCTGAATCCCTTCGCGGCACAGCAGTTACTGCTTGGTATTGAAACGCTGTCACTCCGCTCCGAGAGACATGCCAGCAATGCGCTGGCGTTGGCGAAGTGGCTGGAGAAGAATGAGCATGTCTCTTGGGTTTCGTACCCGGGGTTGGAGAGTCATCCTAGCCATGCGACGGCAAAGAAGTACCTGAAGCGTGGGTTTGGCAGCGTGTTGTCGTTTGGTGTTAAAGGGGGTGCCGAAGTGGGTAGCCAGGTTGTTGATGGCTTCAAGCTCATTTCGAATCTTGCTAAGTACGGTTCCATGCTCCCTGTCCAATATTTGGGTTATCATAACTACCTAGATGGGGATGAACACTAATGGCATGTTTTAACAGTGTCGGTGACTGCAAGACTCTCGCCATCCACCCATGGTCGACGACGCATGAGCAGCTCAGTGATGAGGAGCGTGCCGCATCCGGGGTAACGCAGGACGCCATTCGTATCTCCGTTGGCACGGAGCATATTGACGATATCATTGCGGACTTTGTACAGTCCTTCAAGGCCAGCAGTGTCGTCACTAGCGACAGTAATTAGGTTGGATGATGGAGTTTTCTTGGACAGCAGAAAGTCAACCAGTGGACTATGTTTCTCCACCTGACTTGGAAATTGTGCTATCCAAGGATGATGTGCGCCGCAGGTTTAGGCTTAGATATAACTATACCTCCTCCGAGTGGTTTCGCACTTGGTTATGTAAACGGGAGATAAACGGGAGATCTAACTCGTAAATTTTTTTTCTTTTATTTATTTTTATTTTTATTTTTGGTTGTTTGTTGGGTTAAGGGGTGAGTTAACGGATAGTTACTATTTTACGCCGGCTTTCATCCTTTGGTCCGTGGTAACCTATGGGAGGAATGGGAGCGGTCAATAAATAGAACCAAACAAACATCCATAACCGGACATATTACCAAAGCCTATCCACGGTACGAATCCCAGATAAACCCTGTCGATGATAATTGATACCTTGGTAGGTACCTAGTAAGTATAGAGCAATATTCAGGAGTTAAGAGGAGGAGAAAAGGGAACCTGGAACCTGGAACCTGGAACCTCCACGCCGTATTAGGTGGCATGCTCGACGGATCCTATTTCAGGGTTAAACTCCATAGTTAGAGTTTCTGGATAGACCGAGCTCGTAAAGACGTCTGTGTGGAGTTCTTATATATAACTATATCTAGGACATCTTCATGTCAAGTGAACTTCGCTAAAATGTTGCTCATCAGATAGACTTTTCGCACCAGCGGAAAGCGGGAAAACTAACAGCATCTCCATAAGTCACCGCGCTGTAATATTAGATCACTGCTCCATCTCAGTATGCGTAATCCCCTTCAACAGACAGGATTAAAGAAACTTCAATCGGGGAGCCCGGCCCGGGGAACCGGGCCCATAGGACCCCATTTCTTTTG